CTCTCTCTCTCTCTCTCTCTCTCTCTCTCTCTCCTCTCTCTCTCTCGATCGCTCCCCCTCGCCCTCCCACCCCACTCTCCTCAAGATCTACACTCTGGGCTCCGGCGCCGCCGCCGAGCTGGGGTTTCTTGAACGTAGATGGAGCATTCCCTGCCGGAGCCTCCTCTCTCCGCAGAGCTCCGGGGCCCCGGGGGATGTCGCTCGACCCTCCCCCGGCAAAGTGAGGGAAGGGCGATCTGCGCGCCGGCTGGGGGCAGGCGGAGTCATGTGACGCCGATCCCTCGAAGAGCCCCGTTTCGGCAGCGCGGACAGGGACACACGCACGCAGCCCCGCCGAGGCGCAGAGCCGCACGCAGGCTGCACCTTGGCGCCTCCTCCCCCCCCTCCCCGGACACACACACACACACACACACACACACACACACACACACACACACACCCCTCCTCGTCCTCCCGCCTTGCCCTCCTCTTCTGCACTTTGGGTGTTATAAACCAAATCAGATCAATTTTTGTTCAACCCAATGGAATCCCGGAGACTCGGCATCCCTGGAGTTCTTTGCGCCCCACGGCGGCGCACGGTAGACCTAGGGTAAGCCCCGTTTGTCATTTTTCTGCACTATCGCCTTCCCTCGCCTTCCTCCCGTACTTAATTTTTCCAGTCCAAGGTGGATGGAGGAAGGTGGATAATGAAAGGAATGGGATATGTACTAGTTTTTGCATAACCGTTTGGAGCCGGCGACCCGAGAATACAGATTGGGAGGAGAGAGGTGACCGCTTATTTTTTTATTTTATTTTGAGCGGTGCCATAATTGCCAGAGTCGCCCGGCGAACCGTAAGGTCTGGCTGGCAAGCCGCTGCCGGGAGTCTTTCGCAAATACCCCTGAAGCCTGAAGGCGGGCTTCAAACGCAGGCGCCGGGGACCATGGGAGCCTTCAAATAGCTGCGCTGGCGCAATGATACCTTAATGATAGATTTTCCGTTCTTATTTTTAGCTCCCATTCGCCTACACAGTTACACGGCATTTATCCGAGAACGTCACAGCGCCCGCATGCTGCACCGGCGGAGCGCGCAGGCTGCCGGGCCAGCCGGGTGCTGGAGCGGGGAGCGCGCACCGCCGTCTGCTGCAGAGGGCAGCGGCCTCGCGGAGACCCGGAGCAGCGCCTGGCGCTTACAGTTTGCAGCCTGGACGGGTGTCCGCGCAGCCCTCTGGAGAAAGAACACCATCTTTCCTCACAGGACCGCGCGGGAGAGTCTCCCCTGTTTAGACCACACAAACACACACCATACACCACGGTCTGGAGTGGAGCTGTCCCAGTTCAGGACATAGTGGTCCAGAGGGCTAAGCCACCTTCTTTGCAGCCCTGATGTTCTCAAGAGACATCCCGTGGAAACGATTGTGCTCATTTTTTAACTTGTTTTCTAACTTTCTTCTTTCTCCTGTCCCACTCTTCTTTTTCCTACCTATCCTCCCTCCCCTTTTCAGATGGGATCTTGTTATGTGGCCCAGACTGGCTTGATTTACACATGCTCCCCCCCTCAGCGTCCTGAGTGCTTAAACTTCCCTTGGCTTCGTTATGGAAGCAGAATTTCCAGGGCTGTTTTTTTTTTTTTTTTTTTTTTTTTCATGTAAATTCCCATTAGGAAGCCTGTTTCAGAAAAGGCCAAGGACATCCCTGGTGAGGGACACTTTGCCTCAGTTCAGCCATTACATCTTCTCTATAGCCTTCAGTGTAGCTTGGCTTTGGGTTCACAAGCTTAGGGTTGCTCTAATGGAAAGTGGCAGAGGTGGGATTTGAACCAGATTGAGGCTGAGGTGGAGCAGCAGCGTTTAGAGTTGAGTTGAGGCTGGGGTGTATCCCACAAAGGAGAGGGATAGTCAGGGAGAAAGGTTATCTTTACATGGGCTAGAGCCAAGGTATGGCAGGCAGACAGACCTACAGTTCTTCCAACTGGACCTGGGCTGCAGGTAAATGGGTGGGTAATGCGTGTTCGGAAGCAGTTTTCCCACAGGAGTGTGGAGACTCACTAATATATGGCAGAACCAATGATGCTGCCTTGGGCACACAAATTGCCTAAAATTGCTGTCAGGGTGTCCCTTCTCATTCAGTGGAGTTGGGCAGGGTCTGAGAACCTGTATTTCTGACAGATCTGCCGGAGAGGGAGAGGCGGCCTCTCTGCTTTGCAGCTCAGCCATTAGATTTTGGGCACTGAGGAGGTGGGAGATTATGGGACTTATACATTTGTTCGATCACTCACACATTTTATTCTTTTGGCTGGGCCTTGGAGACACAATGAAAAGAAAAACTGATTTCTGGAGCTTGGGCTGGCCTAGGTACTCCTTTGCTGTGTGACTCCTAGTATAGCCAGAGGAAAATCCACTTTCTCTTGGGTCTGGGGAAGACATGCTAACCAAAGGTGCCAGTCAGAAGAATTGATTCCACTGCAGAGGCTCTGAACTCTGGTGTACTTTAGAGGTTTAAAGTCTGTGTTGGACCTTATTTTTGGCCAGTGAAGTTAGAATCACTGAGACTGGATATGCCTATCCTACTTAGAAGCTCCTGAGAAATCCCAACATGGAATCAGGGCTAAGAACCACTTATGCTCGGGCCAAGAAGATCCTGCCCTGGTCAGCACTGAGGTGGCGGCGTCACATGTTTGCTAGTGCTGGGGTTCTGGGATTTCCCAATGAGCTAGTCCATGCTGGAAGGTTGGCTGTGGCTCTAAGCTGCTGTGTGAGAGAGAGGAAAATGGCTGGAGTCCTTCCTGGCATTTTGATTAGTCTTATGTAAGCTGTATGAATATATATATATTTTTTTCCTCTAGTGACCATAGGCAGAAACTGGAGTCTAACCTTTGGCCTCTTGGCAGTCTTTTGACTGGAATCAAGCTCAATGCTCTTGAAGGCCTCTTAATGATGCTGGCTAAGGAGATATCATTTACCAGGCTGGTCCTTGCTTGGCTTATGTAAGAGTCATAGAGAAGGTGGACATAGGCTGTGTAGCAATTTCTTCTGAATTGAAATATTCCCTCCTAAAGGGAAGAGGAAGGCTCAAAAGACCCAAGAAGTTCAAGAAACTTAAAAAGCTCTTCTCTTAGTCACCGTTCTATTGCTGTGAAGAGACATCATGACCAAGGCAACTCTTAGCATTTAAACTGGGGCCTTGCTTGCAGTTTCAGAGGGTTAGTTCATTATCATTGTAGTAAGAAGTGTAGCAGCTCAAAGGCAGGCATGATGCTGGAGCAGTAACTTGAGAGCTATACATCCTTAACCACAGGCAGCAGGCAGGGAGAGAGAGACAGAGACAGAGAGAGAAGGAGCAACACAGAGACAGAGACAGAGGGACAGAGAGAGGAGAGGGTCCAGTATGTGCTTTTAAAACCCAAAAGCCCACCTCCAGTGACACACTTCCTCCAACAAGGCCACACCTACTCCAACAGGGCCATAGTTTCTAATCTTTCCTAGTCTACCAACCAGTAACTAAGTATTGATCCCATGGGAGCCATTCTCATTCAAACCACCATGGCTCTGGAAGCTTGGACCTTCCAAGACTCACAGGACTCCTCCCCAGGATTAGATGAGCAGTTCCATTTGCTGGGGCAGATGGTGGTACTGGAGGAGGAAACCATCAGGAAAGCTGCCAGCCTGTCAGGCAGAGAGCTGCAAGGATGCACCCATCTTGGTGTGTGTGTGTGTGTGTGTGTGTGTGTGTGTGTGTGTGTGTGTGCGCGCGTGCTCGATACAGCTGCCTTGAGTTACCCATGCCCCGTAAGTAACACCAATAATTTCATTGGTTCATCAAGCTAGAGTTGGGTGAAATTCTTTGGTTTATCACTGTTGCCTTATCTGTAGTAAGTAAATGTTAATTCATATCTTCCCTTGCCAAAAATCACACACCACAGTGCCTTGGCCTAGCTGGTAGAAATGGGCGCGCTTTGAGATTAAACACACCGTCTAATCTATGGGTGTAAGAACTTAGCCTCTCCTCCAGGGAAGGGCAGAGACTGACTAACCCCGGTGAATTTGGGGCCTTGCCTTGATTCACTCCATCCTCCCAATAACAATTCTGAATAGGGGTTAGCAACCCCATTTCCCAGGTGGAGAAAAGGAGGCCCCACTGTGTGTGTTTGTGTGTCTGTGTGCACGCACGCACGTAGAGATTTTTTTTTTTTTAATTGAAAGAGAAAAGAGTAGTTTCTTTACAGCTTTGGAAGAGACACATAACAGTCAGAGAACTTTTGAACACGTGTGCACTGTTTGGGGAGTTCCAGCTCTAATTTGGACTCCACTGATCACTTTGAGCAGACATCTCGTGCAGATCAGGAAGCCTACACTGTTAGTTTGTATTAACCACGTTCTTCCCCTTCTTCTAAGGCTGATGAAGGTCCTTCGTAAAATAAATACAAATAAATAAGTTCACACAGAGAATAAAGAGATAACACAACCAAATATTCTTAAAAACGTTTTTTTTCTGTAAAATATTTTTGCTTTTTTTTCAGACATAAACACACCCACTAAAATGATTTTCTATAGTATCTGATATTTTATAGGCCCAATCTCTCTTTCTCTCATGTCCCTTGTAGTATGTAAAATTATTTCTTCTTACCACTATGAATTTAATTGCCGTCTTATCATGGACACTTAAGCTGGATTCAGGTCACAGCTTTTGGCAGTGATGTGCAACGGTACCTGTTGAGCGTACACTTCCAGTTTTAGGCTGAGTTCCTCAAGGCGGGCCTTCCGAGTGAGAGGATATGTGTTTGAATGCCGCATGTATAGGTTCATTTCCAGTGGGTCAGCTCTTAATTTTTACATTAAGCCACTGACAGAGGATAAGAAAGCCAGTTTCTTTACCCTGTTGTCAAG